GACTATAGACCTATATAGGTCTTTCATATAATTTTCATCATACATTTTAGAGCTAATTTTTTTTTTTTAATCCCATGGCTAACTAAAGCCAATTTTGAGTCATTATAAGATGGGTTGTTAACTGTTGTCTCCTATTAGGCTAGCAAACACAGTTGTCATTATTTGTTACTTCTTTTGTGTTTGAGGATGCATTTTAAAAGAGCTATTGTCATAGTGGTTAGGTCTTAAAATAATTTCACATTTATTACTATGCCAGCAGCCACAGTGGGGTTTTTAATCATACAATACAGCTTGTGCAGAGATTGATATCAGTGTTTTGTGGCATCAAGTAAATTTTAGCTCTGGGATTTGACTACATACATCTTACTGTTGTCAGTTGGGGTTCTTGTAACCAGCTCCCAAAGTGGGTTTCTAAATGTGACCCTTCTAAGTCTGGGCTGTATCTCACCGCACATATTTTGGGATCTCTCTTTGAGATAGGAGATAATCAGGGAAAAGATGAGGAAATGATTAACCCTGTAATACAAAGATCAGATGCGTGTTTTCTTAGCTAGTTGTACATAGATACAGAATCCTTAATTAGTTGTGATCACAGATGTCAGCTGGTCATGGAATCAGGTCAACAGGCACCACCCATCGAACAAACTCCTGAGGCCTTCAACACACTAGAAAGAGAAACTCAGTTTTGAGTTTTTCATTCATTTCTGCAATTAAGACTTTTTCCCCCTTCATGCGGAAATGAGTCTTCTGGCAAAAAATCCTTCCACTTGACATTTAGTAGGCAAACGAAGTCCCCATTTACTTGTAAAAGTTCCTTCTAATTCACTGAGAAATACTAACTTCTTTTGTGTCTGATTTACCTGGAGTGAATGTACGGCCCGTGTACTGGGGCAATTTAACAATAAGGAACGTGGTGACGAAGGACTGACGTATTGCTTTTGCAGACCGGGGCTCTTTGTTTGGGTGCCCTGCAGATGTACAAGAATGGTGCCTCCAGAGGCCTGGGAAAGCAAGGGACTGTCCTGTCTGGTGTTGCATGCACAGGCGGGCGTCGGCAGAACCATCACACCCCTGCCCCGTGCTCACTTAGCTCTTTGCAGGGGAGTGGCCCGTTCCAGCAATTACTGCTCCTGTCTTGTGGTTCTTTTTATTCCACACACAGAATAATTTTCTCCCGTTTCTGATGGTGATCATTTCTTAAATAACTTTTATACAGCCCTTTGTACTTTGCAGAGTGTTTTTTTTGTTTTTTTTTAAAAGATTTTATTTATTTATTTGACAGAGAAAGACACAGCGAGAGAGGGAACACAAACAGGGAGTGGGAGAGGGAGAAGCAGACTCCCTGCCGAGCAGGGAGCCCGATGCGGGACTCGATCCTGGGACTCCAGGATCATGAACTGAGCCGAAGGCAGTCGCTTAACCAACTGAACCACCCAGGCGCCCGCAGAGTGTTTTACAGTTCTGGTGTGTGTTTGCTTTTCTGCTTAAATATATGAGGTAGTAAAATTTTCATGAGAATGGAAACCATGAAGACAATATGTGATTGAGCATTAGTATCAGATATGAGAGTTTTAATGTAGGTCAAAGTTAGATGATCTTTAAAATCTCTTGGATGTTGGGAAAAGAGGTTCTTTGAAACCGTAGTCTTTCTTTTTAAGCTCAAAGTAGGTAATAATTGCACACTTGTCTGCTTAGGAATAGAATAAAATACTTCTAAATTGGTTATTTTTTTTTTCTCTTTGACATTTCTAAGCCACAGACTCTGTGTTATACGTTCTATTGACCTAAGGGAAGTAATGGAAGTGAATTTTGCCTAAGGTAAAATTGATTTCCTGGTGTCTTGGATTTTTAAACTCTTTCCTTTACAGAGGTCACTTTATTTTTATTTCTAGCCAAAGAGACCCTTGCTTTCTAGCACATTTCTTTAGAGCAGGTACTTGGGTGCTTAGAAATTCTGTAATAGAATGTCCCAGCTGAAAATGAAGTTTGAAAGCCCTTTCCAATTCCACGTAAAGTAAGCAAAATAGCAAAGGGAGCTTTTTAGAAATAAATCTCATTTTATATTTGGGTCTTTGATTATGGAATGAATATAAAATCTAAATTGATATGCTCTTTCTTTTAACAATTGTTCCACGATACCCCTGTATCCAAAACATGACGGATGATATCGAGACATAATTTATTATGTTTTTCATTTCTTGGATATGTAGGAAAATGAATTCATGCTTTGCAGTTTTAAGTGAGCGTTTTAATGTTGTTTTGGTCAGTTGTTATTTCCCTTTCATTTTGTATCACTGTATCATGTTGGCTAAAACAAATATTAATGCTAAGGTGTTTAGTGACAGCCAATTTGTGTCATTTTGGTGAAAATCAAACCAGTTGTAACTATTGAATGAAATGGTTTAAAAATGGTTTTGATGACCAGATTGAGAAGGAAAGAAGGAAACATAGATATTCCTAAAGGCAAATCTTGCCCCTCCTCCTTCATTGGAGTGAAGAGTGAGTTGTAATACCAACAGAGACCAGCTCCCAGTAAGAGGTGTGAGGCTGTTTATTTTCACTCTGGAGATGTATATACTACAGAAGGAAAACTCTGGCCTTGCTTAACCTAAGCAAGTCATTACTTATCTACGATCTGGCAAGCAATTTGATTAAAGTTGACAGAGCTCATATAATATCAGAACCAGGCCCTCTTAATGATTGATGAAGTTTGTCTGTAAGCCTTTTTTTTTTTAAAGGAGAAAAACTGAACAAGAGTGAATACTTGTTCAGATCTGTAATTACCAAGTATAAGCCAAGTCTATAATGTAGTTTTGTCTATAGCAATTAATATGTATTAATTTGTATGTTTTTGGGGTAATGATTAAATGGCTTCAAAATAATATTTTTATGTCAGCAGGTTAATTTGGCTTTTACATGATTAAATTCTTGAAAATTTAGAGTTCCTGCCTCATATTTTCAACATCTTTTAAATGTAGTTTTCTTTGATATTCTTTTTTTTTTTTTTAAGATTTTATTTATTTATTTGACACAGAGAGCTAGAGAGCACAGGCAGGGGGAGCAGCAGAGGGAGAGGGAGAAGCAGACTCCCCACTGAGCAGGGAGCCCTATGTGGGGCTCGATCCCAGGACCCTGGGATCATGACCTGAGCAGAAAGCAGCCGCTTAACTGACTGAGCCACCCAGGTGCCCTGTTTCTTTGATATTCTTTAGTGGAAGTTTTAACCAATAAAGAATTTTCCTCTTTGTTCTCTTATGAAATTGAGTTATTTGAAAAAGTTTTCAGCTTTAATTTTAATTTTTTTCAACCCCTTGCTCTCTAACTGTACAAAAATAGTTTGGACAATTGTCATAGCATATTTGGGCCATGGAGTGTTGTGGTTCATTTCTTTGCTGCGTTTTTTCTTCTTATTCCCAACAGATTGATAGTGTGACTTGAATGTGTCCAATGTTCTTGAGATGCTTTAAACCAAGATTCTACATACGGTTTTGTCATTCATAGGCTGCCTAGTCAGTATTGGACTGCCAGACACCTCCCCCACCCCTACACCTTGTTTTAAGTAAATTTAGCATGTGCAATTTCCAGATTAATGAAACAGCTGAATTGAGAGTGAATTAGTTTTCTGTAAATGGAATTTTCTTAACCTGGGAATTTTCAGGCATTGTATCGTAAGGGTTTGGATGAGGGTAAGCTCAAGAGAGTGAGTACCTGGTGTCAAAGCCAGATTCCCCTGTAGTCTCATGACATAACCTCCCTGTGCTTCAGTTTCTTCACTTGTATAACGGGAATGAATGAAAGCTCATCAGGCTCTTGGGCTCTGTCATTTAGTGTTCAGACCCTGTGATCAGTGTGTGGTAGGTGCTCCTGGAGGGTGAGAGTTGCTATTCTGATAGAATTGCTGTCCCTGAGATGGGGGTTTATATCCACAAAATAGGATGTTATTGTGACATCGCTGAATTAGACTGTTGAATCAAAATCAAATGAGTTGGGATTAAACTCTGCGGAGCTACCAATGTGGGAATAAGCTAGAACTGATGATATGTTTCTGGTTTTGGATTGGTTAGAACCTGGTGCATAGCGAAGAAAGCTAACTGGGAACTTTTGGGTAAATTTCTGTGAATCTCCAAATAACTGCACGCCATTTGACTTTCTTGCTCCACATGTTCAATTTTGTAACTTTGTGATCTCCCCTTTCCCCTTCCTATATCCCCAAACTCAGTATAAGTAAACTTATAAGTTTAATACCAGGAAAATAAAATTCACTTTGTGAGAGATGTACTTCATACCTACCCTTATTGACATGTTCTTAGAAGCAAGGGCTACCTGTCCTTGGAACCCTTTGCTAACTTTTCTCTTGATAATTTCTCCAACAAGTGTTGTCATCTAAGGGAAATCCCAGTGCTCTCTGGAATTCTTATATGTATACTGAATGAGCTTGAATCTTATGTCCTTTTACATTTCTTTTCTTTTGGGCTTACATATGGTCAGAACAGATAAACCCTTCACTGGGATTGGTAGCATTAACGACCACCAATAAAGTGCCATTCCCAAGTTGTTCCCAGAAAAGAAATAGGATAGACGTGGGATCATCAGATGCAGATATTTGGCTTGGAGATGGGCCAGTTATGCACACTGTTGTCAGCCCCACCCGGCAACTCCCCTATTTTGTTTCTGGCTGGCCAAGGTAAGTATATTGCCCTCAAGTGTGGAGGGGGATCCAAAGAAGGAGTTGTAGAATCAGTTAAGTGTTGAGGATTCCATCTGTTTCTTCTACCCCACAGGTTGGCCTCATTATTGGATTTTTATCACTGGAATCTGGGTTTCCAGGGAAGCACAGTAATGTATGTAGTGATACTGAACGTGTTTGCAGGAGAAAACGTCGTGCCAGAACTCTGCAAATGCATAGACTTTAAGATATTCCTTCTGGGACCCGTAACGTAGAGGATTAAGCTTGATTGTATTGCATTTGTAGTTTTCTTAGGGTGGTGGTCTTGGCGGCTATGGAGGTAGGTAGCATTTTTAGGATCCTTTTAACTGTTTTGATTTGGGGGACTGTGAATCTTGTGTTTGAAACTATAATTCTTGTCCTATTTCCCACCCCCACTCTCAGCTCAGATCTGTAGGGATGTGTGTGATCAAGGAAAATAGCTGTGTGTTTGATTAGTTAACAGAGTGTCTTAACTAAGATGATAATGGCTTGTATTTTGCTAAAAAGGGGTTAGGGCTCAAACTTGGGTAATGTATGACTTTTTCAAAAGGAAAAATTCTTGTAAACTAATGTTGATTAAATTATTTTTATTACTAATCTCTTAAGTATATACAAAATAAACTAGATGCAAAATTCTTAGAAAACTAAAATTTACAAAATAAATACATAACCACAAAACCAATATAACTGAAACATTTAAAATCCATAAAAATTTTTTTAGATTATCAGTAGTGTTTAATAGTAGAAGGATTCTTATGCTTATTTTATATTTCACTTGCCTATTTGATTTGGCTCTTTTGATTTGAAGCACAATTAATATTATTTTTCTTTTTTTAATAATGACCTTGTTTTTACTGGCCCAGTATTTTGTGGACACTTTGAAAGTGCACTGTTATGTGTAGTACTGGGAACTTTCAAACCCACGGAATGAAATGTATGGATGTATTAATACTTACTGTTGATGAACCAGAGTAATAATGCGATCTTTGTAATAAGTGGTTTCATGATGTTGTATAAGGCTGTTTGCTACATTGCATGCTTTTCAAGTTTGTCACACTTATGCTGCCATGAGCTAGAAGGTAATTCACATCTGCTTTTCTTCTTTTTTTTTTTTACTTTTTAATTGTTATGCTAATCACCATACATTACATCATTAGTTTTTGATGTAGTGTTCCATGATTCATTGTTTGTGCATAACACCCAGTGCTCCATGCAGA